ATTTTGAAATGCATCCATAATAAACTATTTCCTCTTATCAATAAGAATACTTCAAATTAACTTTCAAAATGAATCCGTTATATCTGTCAATTTATTTAACTTCACCATTCAAATTTAATTAAACTTAAGGAACAATATTTCAATATTATTAACTAAATTAATTTTGTAAAATATTTAATATATTAATTGTATATTAAGTGTTTTTATGTGTAACTTGCATATTTGAAAACTTTTTCTTAAACTACCTTGCGAAGTGCATACCTTTTGTTTCAACCATAAAAAGAAGTTTTATGAACTTCTGTTCACTTTACTTAATCCATGCCCTCGAGGAAACTTTAATTCCCAAAACTTTTCCTTCACTCTTAAAGCATTAAACTGTTCCCATAAATATTTGAAGATGACACTTATTTAAGGTGGCAGACAAAGAGACACTCATTTGCAAAGGAGTAGGACCAATGCGTCCTAGTACCAAAATTACGAACCTCGAATCTTTACAATGAAAAATATTTCACATTTCACGGATATTATTTTAAATTTAAATTATTACTGTTGTTTAAGGTATAATATACTTTTACAATATATAAGAATACGATTTAAAATGTATTAGATTTATGTATATATTATTAATAAATTTAAGTAAGGCAATGTACTGATATATTACCTCAAAATTTATACAGTGCTTTCGGGAAAGTAAAACATTTTTTGGAAGCAGGTATTTATAAGGAGACCATCTATTTTGAAATATATGTGTTGGTAAGGTAGATCTTTACAGGGATATACTGTAAGAATTCCATGATATTTAGAATATATTTGTGTTTCTGGTATAAAAATGATCATCGAACAAAGTTTTTAATCTGTTACCGAAAAGTTTCAAATTATGATTCAAATTTAATTCTTTATAATTCTTTATTCTATTGCAGATTTCAAATGTGGTATACATGGTTTAAAAGCAGACAAATTTATATTCTAAATGATAGACAAAACATCGGCCAACTGAATTCCATGATCAACACAGTTTCGATCAAAGCTGTATATGAATTCATCATAGATTAGCTTTAAACGGAATTGTATATCATGAATTTGTGAAATGAATTTAATATTAGTTTATTTTATTTTAACCACATATTTCGGTTTCCGAAAAGAGTTCGCATAGATCCATTGGTTAATATTGACAATGTTTATAAGGACTAGTAAAATTAATGTGTTAAGACCGGTTAGTATTAAATTATAAAATAAGTAGCATAATCTGACGTGGCCGACTTATTGCAATCGTAAGAGATTAACTTTGCTCTATCCTGAAATAACCAGTATAATGAACATCAAATGTTTTATACACGGCTTGTAGATCTTAGTCTACAGATCTTATTATCAAATATATGGGTTTTTGATGAGAGTTACATTAATTTCTTCGTCAACCAGAGACAATTTTATAACAATTAAGGCTCATTTGGAGATTTTTCTGTAAATCTGTTTCTGGTTCGAGTGGTTTAGCTGAGAACCAGACTTACTGACAGCTTTGTGTTTGTTTTCTTGCCTAATTTTCCAAATTAGCATGGCCGATCTATTGTTATCGTAAGAGATTAGTTAAGCTCTATCATAAAATAACCATTATTATGGGAGAAAAAAGGCGTTCAGGATTTTCTTCTAGAGCAAAACCTGAAGTTAAACATTTGCAGCCACTTATTTCTTGGAGGGCTCATCAGTACCTTGAATGAAGCTTTATTTGCAAAATGGTCCACCCCTGTCAGATTTTTAAGAAGTTCTTCCTTATTTGAACTTTGAAATGCAAATTATAACTTTTTTTATTACCACGATATTAAAACAAGAAAGTTTTGTGTACACTCGAAAATCTTTATATAGAAAATCTATATATAAGTCTCCAAAACATTTCTGTACAGTTGCATTAGTTGTGAAAAGCCCGAGTTCCCCGTTTAGAAATTAGGTAAAGGGTTTGATGTGATTTCAGAATTGTAGGGAATTGAAGTATCATAAAATTTCAATTCAATTATAATTGCAATCGTAGTAGCTTTGTGTTTCTCTACTCAACGATCTAAAACACTTATTTCATATGATTTTAGTCTGAACAATTTACGGTATGGATTTACAAATGGATAATTTTCAATAAAATATATCGTTTTTATTAAGACAACTTTTTGTTTTTCCTTATTAATGAATAGTATTTTCAATAATAAAAATTATATATTCTGAAAGTTTATTGTTAATATAAAAATCAAATTTATTTTGCATTATTGGTATTAAAAGGGAAGCCATCATTTCAATATGGCTTAGTTCTAATATTCTGATTATTAAAATAAAGCAGTATTTACTTGATATTTAAAGTGAATAAGAATTATAAAACTTTGGTATATGTTAAAACGTCACAATTCAAATACATAATTGTAAACTGAAAATTATATTCTTCAAAACTTGTCATGTAATTTTATAGTTATTGTTCAGTTTAAATATGGTACAGCTTGCTGGTCTTAAAAAAAGCTTAAGAAAGCTTTTCAATGTACCTGGGATCTTGAAAGAGAAGATTTTAGCTTTAAGAACTTTTCATATAAAAGGGTTATATTAAATATATTTAAAAAAAAATTACGTATAACATAAACTTACGCAAAGCTTATTAAAATGACGTACTTACGTTTCTAGACTATGTGATCAATTTGACCTATTTGATGGCTAAGCAATCATTTTATTTTATTTTATCTTATTATATCATAATTAAAATATTATTTGCGTTTATGATTATCTCTCTTTAGCGGTACCAAATATTATTGGCGTAATTTAATATTGACGTATTTGATAAAAATGTGTTAAAGTTTGCAGAGATTTTCTTACCTGAATCCGCAAATGAAAACGTCATAATTAACAAAAAAAATAAAAATTTTAATATGAAGCAGATACTCTAATTAGTTAAGCAATTGCTTTCGAATAATAAGATATTTTGAAGGAAATCATATTTGAACCAAAAATATTGTAATAAAAATTAAATTCTATATAGTAAATATTTTGTAATAATTTTTTTCAAATTATGAATATTAGGTAAAATTTTAAGTTAATAACGTTCACTTCACATAGTTTTAACTTTAACATCCTCAGCCATATTATATTAAATAGGTACAAATCATAATTTTTTGTAAAAATATTGAAGATATGTCTTTACTGTCTTTAACTATTTGGTAATTTATTGTTATGACTGTGTTTGTCTTAAATGGATTTCTTTTAAATTTTCCTATCAAAATTTTGGGCCTTACCAAAACATAAACATAAAACATACATATACTATGATATTTATGAATTAAGATACTTCATACTCACCACAGAGCTAAGACAATACTTTGTATTTTTGCAATATTTTTATATTTTTACAATAAACTATAGTCGAAATATCGGTGCAAATAAAATAAATTTTTTAAAACTAATTTAAAAATTTATTTATTATTTAAAATCGACTAACAAGCCCATTTAAAAATATATATAAATATTTTTTATTATAAATGTACTAAATATAAAAAATGTCCCAAAACTATTGTATACAAAGAACGTTCAGATGAGTTGAGAAACGGTAAAGAGTTTTTAGCCTGGCACAGAAAAATAAAATTCTATCAAAAGAATAGTGGATGTAGTGGATAAAAGACGCGAGTCGTTCTTGAACGCGTACTGCAGCCTCTGCCAATCAGTAACTTGCTGTCGTCAGTTAGTAGTGTCGAATGTCTTTAAATCGTTAGTCACCTAGCCCTTACACTGAAGATTCGGTTGTTGTTTATCGTGTTTCGATCAGCGGGTACCGAACCAAATTCATTTCTAGCCACAGCACTTTCTTCCATTCAAAAGATATGACTAAATCAACGACGTCGTTTAGTCATTTAGTTATGCGCTCAACTGTGTCAATGTCATGGTATAGCTTATACAGCTCATCATTCCATCGCTAATGTATGACTATAGTATGGGAGTATGACTATAGATTTTTCGAAAAAATTTTTGCTCTAATTCTGCTTATGCTGCTTATATCTTCCCATTACTGTTGGTTATTATCCAAGTTTCTCTACCATAGTAGAGTAGTAAGTAGTAAGAGGACTAAGTAGGCTTAATTTCTTAATTGCCTAGTTAACTCGTAGTAATATCTGTTGGCAAGAGTAATTTTCAATGTAATCGCTAGCCTGATGTCATTTTTGGTGTTTCCACTGGGTTTCAAATAAATAAGTTGTCTTTCACAACTTTAAACTTATAATTGTCAATACTGATGTGGGTTTTCCAAAACGCTCAGGTAACACTCAGGAAAAAGCTACACTGACGACATGGGTGTTCGGTCCAATGATACGAATATTGTCGGTAAAATCAAGCAGCAATACCCTTTTGTAAAATATTGTATCAGTATCTGTCAGTATCTGTAAAAATCGTCCAAGAAGTATTTTTTTTAAATATTTTCAATAATATTATCAAGAGGCTTATCGACCGGTATGATGATAGCTGTTTTTCAGATTATTTGTTTTTAAATAGTATTACTCATTTCAAGTGATACAAGTCTACAAGCTTTTATAGATATTTGTTTATGGTAAGATTTATTTATTTATCTTACCATTAACACATATGGTTAATAACTTATTGTTAGTTTTCTGCTCTAACCATATTTTGTTTTGTTTATTTGCTACTAAATAAAAATATATTAAGATCAACATTTCTTACATTTCAATAATTGTTTTTTTTATATATAGTAAACTGTCGATTGTTGAAGGCATTTTATTTTATTATCTGTAAGAATACCAAATGTTAGTTAGAACTTATCACTGAATACAATGATGGGACGATATTCTAGTTGCAAAAAAAAAACAATAATAATTTACAAGCGTGGTTTAAACAGAATTTTCTCGGAAAAAGCAATTCACTTGAACTTGTAAATGCATTCAAGACAGATCAGTAACAGTCTAATTATATATATAAAAATTAAATTATTAAAAATAATTAAATAAAATTGAATTGTTAAGTGTTACCTATTATTTAAAACAACAATGCCTCAGTGTAAAGTAAAGTTAAAGTCAAAATTACTGAATATCACAATTAAAACGACGAATGGTGACTACAATTTGGAGAGATTACATTCCGATACTGCCATTTTCTATTTTAAGTCACGTGTTTCTGCTATAACGAAAATACCAAAATCCGATGTGGATATACTACGCGTAAAAGGTCAATCATTTATACCTTTAAACACCTCTGAGGGTACAAAGAGTATTACTTCAATTGGAATTATGGATGGTGATGTTCTCTACGTACAAGACAAACAAGAGCTAACAGAAGACATGAATGATGATTCATTACATTCGATCCATGAAAACATTTCTAATGATGACAATGATTTGGAAAGTGATACACTTTCAGTAGAGCATAGTATACATTCAATAGAAAATAGTTCAAATGAAGTTTTATCACAGAAAGTGGTGCCAGCGGATAATTCATGTCTCTTTTGGAGCATACGTTTCGTATTGATGGGTAGATTGGACTATGATGGGAATCAAATAATGCGTCGTATGGTGGCACAGGAAATTGCAGCTGATCCAATACAATACAATAGTGCAATTTTGGGCATACCAAATAAAACTTATTGTAAATGGATTCAGCAGCCCTGCACCTGGGGCGGGTCTATTGAAGTATCAATTATTTCAAAACTTTATGGAATTGAAATTGATGTCGTTGATACTCGAAATGGGATTATAATTCGTTTTGGGGAAGACAAAGCATTTCAGTGCAGAGGTTTTATAATATACGATGGATTTCATTATAACGCTCTTTATATGAAGAAAAATAATGTAAGTAATCTTATAGGCATATACATTATGTACTGTATGTTTAGTTTCAAACTCTTTCCTCTAATCAATTTAGGATACTATCCCGAAAACAATATTTCCGATAGACGAAATGAATGTCTTTCAACAGGCGCTTGAGATCGCAAAAGAACAAAAATCGAAGTACACTCTGAGTGACAATAAATTTAAAACTTATTGTGTTGAATGCGATGCCATATTTTTGGGCAGTGCACAGATTGAGGAACATGCTGAGCAATTCGGACATTATAAATTTGACAAAATTTAAAATGAACAATATTAATAACATACTTTTATAAACTATAGTTATTCTATAAGTAAAAGTTTATATTATAACTAGTTTTATGCTTAAGACAACTCTAAGGAACGTTAACACATATAACAACTGATTTAAGGATTTGAAGCTTATAAAAATATCTTTTTTTTTAAATATATTTATATATATATACAATATATATTAATATATTTATGTATAATATATATATATAATAAAATAGGTATTTTAAACATTTTATATATTTAGGCCGTGTGCGAGTTGGAGTAAATTGATGGACTATCAATCGTCCAAGGAAAATAGTAAATTATGTCGGTATGACGAATGTTGGTATTTACCAGAATAATAATAAAGTTTTAAAGTTTTAAAATATTAAAAAAAATTAATAAGCTTATTTTCCAGTTACTTTAATATTTATTTGCGTGTATTTATATATATACATACAGATGAACATTATAACTTCAATATACTGGCAACAAAAAAGGGTTAGTTATTAATTAAATTAAAATTAATAATATTATATTAAAATAAATTAAAAATAAATGAATTATAAAATGATAATGAAATATGTAAAATAAATTCCAACGCTGGCTTAGCAAAAAGTAGAAGTTCCAGTATTTCTAAAACAAGGAATTTCAATTTTGTTGAAGTTTTTTTAATTATCAAAATTAAATTTAAAAATATGTTGTTGTTATTTTGATTCAATCAAAATTAGCAATAATATTATATAATATTAAGAGAATTAGCTTTTTATAATATTAAGAGAATCAAGTTTATGACCCACAGTGTCATTTAATACCAATTGTCGTCATAGTTATGTTATTGTCATTATATTATTAATGTTTTAGTTCCATTGCATTTAACTGCTATTTAATTCCCTTCATTACTATTTTACTCTATTGTTATTGTGAGTGAACTTAAAGTGTTATAACTTATTCACACGGCACAAATTATTGCTCATTAACTGCTTATCTGGATTGCGTTGTTACTGTTGGGCATGCGTTTCTTATTTTCAAATCAATTCGCAAAAATTAATTTCAAACAATTTCTTTCGTTCGATTTTAAATTTTTTGTTCTTCAAAACCACTTTGTTCTTATATAATTGTATGTATTATTCTTCAAATATTTCTCTTAAGCAGTTAATTTTAATTAATAAAAATGTCGTGTGAATGCCAATGTAATGAAATTCTCGCAATCTCGTTTTAGAGTGCTTTAGAGTGTGAATATGCTTTTACGGTAGTTACGGTAGTCAGATGAATGGTGATGATATTTGTTACTATATGTTTAATTTAAATTATTAGACAAATGAAATTAGAGAAATCTTGTTGAATTAGACATTTAAAAGCCATAAGTCAATCAAAATTAATTTTAATGTCAACCCTTGACCCAATCTTCTATATAATTTTTGAATAGCCCTCAACACCTATCAATGTTTGTTTACGACTGTAAAAGATCTTTCTTAAGTGGAAATATCAGTTTCGGTAACAAAAAAAAACACGGGTCTCTGTCAGGTGAGAACGATGCTTAATCGATCATAATCATTGATCACTCAGCGATAAAACGAAAGCCGCATTCAAGCAGGCTAATGCCTTCTTTAGCCTAGTAAGGTTTTCTCAAATTTAGTTCTATTTATCTTATTTTTTCTTACAAGTTATTCATACAATTTTAAACAAAAGTCCATTCCAGATTTCGTCACATAACAACCATATAATATAACGGTTTTTCAATAATTTGAGCAAACGGAAAAAAAAATTAATTTTAATTATACAAACATATATATTTAACAGAAACCAAATTTTTACTAATGAAATATTTTATTTATTATAAGCTCATAATCATTTTCTTAGAATATATTCTAGAACTTATTATTTTAGTTTAATACTTTGTAGTAACCTTTGGGTCTTCATACTTTTCTAGAGTTTCTCTAAAATTCATCTTAGTTTTTGGCTTCCGCTTTCCAATTTTGACACTTATAAGGACCAGGCGTTCTTTATGGACTTAATACAAAGGACTTAATACTTAATTCCTTCCTCAAAATGATAATCTAACGTTTTGAAATAGTCAACATTAATCAGAAAAATTTTTGAAATTTTAAATGGTCAATGAATCACTTACAGAGCGGAGTCGATGAAAAGATGAAGAATCGTCCCAAAAAATGGGTTCTTCTTTTCTTTGAGTAATGGATTCCATTGTAGGCACAACTCCATTAAGAATAATTTTTTGCAGAGTTCTGTATTGACCATGCCCTCGATCAATTGAAGCGAAGCAGTTTTATATTTATTTCCTACATCGCCCTAATTCAAGGAGAATGCTTTACAGTGGCAATACAGCCGTTTATACAAAATCATTTTCTGTTTCTATGGCAGACTGTAAGGAAGTCATCGGGTCCAATGACGCTAGATTTGAGAATATAATGTATGACCACTTCAATTTTTCTTATCATTAACCCAATTTAAACGATTTTTCTTTATTCGGCTATTCAAAAGTAGGTTTTTGGCAGGTGTTGTAGCGATTAATCCGATCTTCTTTAGTTGACGTTAAATAATTCGATCAGGAATATCTTTTGTAAAATGTTCTGCACTTCAGATCCTGTTTCAACAGCATTTTTAAATTAATCTTGGAGGCTCGTTCTGATGATAACACGATCTTCTCATGGCTTTCCATGTAGCCAACCTCTGAGCTTTCGTTAATATTGGTAAATTAACAGCTCAATTTACGAATTTATACGTTTTTTGTGATCAATGCAATAAATTTCCGTCCGAAACAATTGCCCTCCTTTAAGCATTCTTTTCCCAGGATTTAATTCAACACAAACTATTTTTAACTATGATAGAAAATCGTCATTAAATTCAAGAACAAAAACAAAAAAAAGAATTGACGTATAGAATAACATTTGGGGAAACCCCAGACTATAAAAGACGCAAATTCATAAAAGTTCAAAACGCGGTTTTTTTTGCCGTTGGGTGTATTTTTATATTGTATATTTTAGTATATTATAACAATTTTATATAATTTATAATTTTGGAGTGCGTAATCAAGAATGACTCTACTCAAAAAAAAGCTTAAACTGAAAAGTATTTTTACGGCGTTTAAAGTAAAACGTTCCCACATCACAGAAGAGACTGTGGATTACCTATATTTTATTGTTTTTAGAGCTTTACTGTATCGTTTGGCGTTGAGTGTACGTGACTTATTCGGTTAGTGTGTCGATTTAAATAAAAAAAATAAAATAATTATTTTACTCGTAAATATTTAATACGAGTACATCCACATAATAAGCACTTTATAATATATTTATATATAAGTGAAGGCAAGACGTTATAGCGCAATAAATTTATTTCGAAGTATTAAACTACAGATCTACACGAAATATTAGAGGTACCAGAATAATAACATAACAAAAAACGAAATAATAGAATACAAATTACAAAAATAAAATTAAATTTGTAAATAATTTTAATAAACTAAATATTATGCATTCAGTTCGAAGATATTTTGTTGTTTTGGAGAGCAAATTTATACAATAGACAGACATATATATGTTTGGATAATATTTGTGGCTTAACAAACCGTCCAGTTATTTTGATGGTCTGTTATAGTGCCTGACACGAATTTTTCTTACACTCTCAACTGCCAATATTTACCTACCATCTTAAACCTACCGTCCTGCACCTACCATCATTTATCTAACATCATTTACTTACCATCATTTATCTACCATCATTAACCTACCATCATTCACCTTCCCTCATTTAGCTACCATCACTTAATCACTTTCATCATTCAGTTGTCAAACTTACGAAAAATCAACATTCCATGTGGATGGCAGCAAAAAACTTTGATCACCAATCCAAAAGGATACACCGTGTAGAAAACCTGACGGATCTAGGGCTCGCAGTAACGAAAATAAAGTTTGCGTTCTAGCAGAGCACCGCTTATATTATAATATTATATTATATTAATGCACCTGGATATGACTAAATTACAGATAATATGATATAGCGAGTACCCCACCTATCAATATGGTTCCTAATGTTGATTTTTAACAGCTTTTTTTCTTTTGACTATTATTCAAAGCCATAGAAATTTTTTATAATACAAATGATTTTAAAGCCAAGCAGGTCCTATCTTTGGGATTATCATACAGACGAATAAGTGTTCTACTCCAACCATTTAAAATTTTTAAGAAAACACTGCTGTTATACGTGGCTGTAAAATTCCGCTTTGGAACGGAATATGGGAGTATTGAGCAAATGTACAAAAATGCTAAAGATATATTGACTGCATTTCAGAACAAAAATTATTGTTCCTGTGTATTATTATATGTGGTTCAACTCACTTTGATTCTTTTTAGTGTGGACCTGATGCATAAAATAAGTCAATTCCTTTCTGAAAATACGCAAAGTTTTTCATTTCATTTATAGCAATCTGATTTTTAAATTGAAATATGATTCCTTTATTTCAAGAAAAATAGATATAAAGGCTGGTTTGTTTTAAGGCAGTGTACTCGGGTTGTTTCTTTTCCTAATTTATATAGCTGATGTTCTCTTATGTGTATTTAAAATCATGCAGTTGCTGCTTTCGCGGATAATACTGCAATTCTTAGTACACACAATCACCACAAAAGTGTATTCCGAGTCTCTCATTTAAATTTTTTGGAGAAATGCTTGCAAAATGGTGCACCAAACCTAATGAAACGAAAAGTGTGTAAGTCACTGATACGCTGCGCAAAAGAAACGTGTCCTCCTGTGATGTTGAATAATATAATTACACCCCAATCAAATGTTTAGAAATATTTCGGCATTCATCAGAATGTAGCCGTTGACTCTAGAGTCCATATCCACAGAAAAAAAAACACAACCATAATTGAAATCGTAGCAACTACACTGGGTTATTACAAAAATTCAAAACTAAGCTTGGAAAACAAGGTTCTAGTTAACAATTAAAACATAAAACACATCTGGTCCTATGGCATCGAACTCTAGAGCTCTGCGTACTCCTCTATTATTGAAAAAGTACAGAAAATACTAAATAAACTACTAAGGCAAATAACCGGTGGTTTATGGTATGTTTAATACATACCATAATATCCATAACGATTTTAGAA